GCTGGTGTGCGGCTCTTCTCCTGCAGATGGAGGTACCCTGTGTTTAAACTGTGAAACAAAAAAACAAAAACAAAAAGAGTGCCACAATCTAGCGCAGTAAATGGATAACAGTGGGAGGAAAGTGTAACCAGAGCACATAAGGTGTGTAGCAAATGGACAAGGCACCTCTGGTGTGGATCATCCGCAAGAAACTGTGTGGCAGTCAGCGGGGGAAGTAGCTCATCTAGCAATGTAGAACATGTCAATCTAAAAACATTTATTAATACATTAAAATCAATGCACTTAAATGTGTGTGCTTGGAGGGCTGCCCATCATAAGTGGAATGAAGCAACGTGCAGTGTCTTTCTGTTCTTTGTTGGATCCCTGAAGTCAATCACTTGGGGGACGAGCAGAGTGTGGCAGTGCTCTATGGAGTGGAGCGATGTCCGTGGCTGAGAAGAAGCTGGCAACACTTCAAACTTGTGTCCCGTGACTGGTCAAAAATGCCAAGGGAATTGGAGACAATGTTGGGGTGGCAGGGCAGCTGCCGCACCTGTCATTTTTTAAATGGTCTCGCCTTTAAATGCCTGCTCTTTTTCCTCCGCTATTTGGCTTGATAAACTGTGTTTTCTATCAAAACGCGTTGGCGGCTGCCTGCTGCCCTGCCATCCCAACGCTGTTTTTAATTTGGCGCGGCGGGCTGTGTTGGGAAGAGCTGGATAGGACTGGCAACCGAAGGGAGAATTCCTGGCTGTTTTTTCATCGCCTTGGACAATAGTGTGGACAGTCATGTAGGATCTAAGAACCCAGGGAGGACCTTTGATATTAGAAATCTTGCTGTCCCTTGTTTGAAATACTGTATATATCGGTTATAGGTTATCGCAAAGATTGCGACTCCGGTTTACTTTGCTCTTTCCATTAGGCTCCTGGTTGGGGGCTTGGCGGTGAGGTGATGTTTGCTCATTTGTTCACTATGCATGGGCTATGTGCTCTTTATGTACTGCTTCAATAATACTACTTCCTTCTCTTCCTGAGGAAGCAAGCTGCAAACAATTGAATATTGATGTATTTTTAAAAAAAAACAACTTTATAATAACCACTTTCATTTACCATTCACTGCAATTAGCAGAACAGTGTCAAGAAGCAGCAAAGAAAACAGAAAGCAACACAATTTTAAAGCTGCTATAATACAGGGTTCTTAGTTCTCATAACGGCATACTGCCTGCAGGCCCTAAAAGACACCTGCATACTTTATATGTATGCTTTGTTTTTAAAGGAGTATGCCTTTACAGGAGTATGCCATCCTGTCTAATTACAACTCTTTAGTTCAGTTAAGCATATTTCTCTAGCTTCATGAACGTGGCTTGTATGTACAAAAACAGCATTACAATGTTCATACAATTGACACAGTATTAGCCATTCCCCTTAGGCTGTCCTATGGCAAAAATACCTTACATAAGAAGGGCCTAAAAAATAACGGCTCTAAGGGATACATAGCATAATCCCCCACTTCTAGAGTCTGCCAATTATCCTTTTGACTGTATACTCGTGAGGGCAGGGGCTATGTTGTCTTGTAGCCGTTTAATTTTCTGATGGTAATAGACTGTGGAACAGTTTATGAGTTTTATAGTCTTTACTACCCCCCTCCTTTGTTCTATACATTACTTTGTAGATTGTCACTAGAGGGGATGATGATATTGCTACAAATAATAACCTAACCTTTAGGTGTGAGTTGCATTAATTTATTACTTGTTAGATTTCTTAAGCAGTATTAACAAGACAAGAATATTTCTAGGAAACGCTTGGTGTTGTATGACACAGTTTCCATAATTTTATTTTAATTACTTCAATGCTTGTGGGAAATTCATGAGCTTATCAATTATCTAAAGAAAACAAAGATAAAAACACCCATAATTAGCTTATAGCCCTTTTTTTTTTAATTAGAGGGACACTCATTTTTTTCTACAAGCTGAAAACCTGACTTCAACATCAATCCCCTGAAGAATCTTATGCTGTCAATTCAAACACTTCACTCCCAACATTTTCCTTTTAATGAGTGAAAGCAAGATAGTAATATCAATCCAGGAAATAAATACACAAACTGCTGCATAAATGTACTGCAATCAGGATTTTAGTTACATTTTGCAACCCCAGGACTCTTTAACCACTTGCTGACCTGGGTGTTAAACCCCCTTCCTGGCCAGGCCATTTTTCAGTATCTAGCGCTGCAGTACTCTTGACTGACGTTTATTCCGTCATGCAACGCTGTACTGAAATTAATTTTATAGCATTTCTGGGGGGACAGATAGAGCTTTCTTTTGGTGGTATTTAATCACCACCGTGGTGTTGATTTTTTACTATATAACAAAAAATTCCCTAAATTTTGTTTAAAAAAACCTGTTTCCCTATGAAATGTTATGAAACATTTATTATCACCCCAATTGTTTGGTAAAATATAAACGATGGGGTCATGTCAGGTGAATAGACACCAAACATGTCAAGCTTTAATATTGCGCGCGCCCGCGAAAATCGCAGAAAATGACCACACCCAAAATTGGCCATAGGCGACGCTTTAAAAGCTTTTACCGCTCATCAGTTTAATGTCATCAGTAATTAATGGCCCTAAAATGATTGCTCTCATTCGATGTTCGCAGCGATATGTAACATGTGTGGCACAATAGGCGGACTCGCTGATGTAATATACATCACTTCCTGCATTCGGGGGCCGAGAAGAGATCAAAGGGCGATCGTGTACTGATCTCCCTTTGATCTCCACTGACCGCGTCGCTGTGCGGGTCCCACAATAAGTACTATCCTTGTCGCACTCCTTACCGATATGTCCCTTGTAGTGGGGGGTGCTCGCAGTGACCGCGGATGGCGCCGCGAATGTCAGCAAAATTGTAGAAATGTCACCAGCACACCAATCCTTTTAAGATAGCAGAATGTCAGCAAAATTGTAGAAATGTCACCAGCACACCAATCCTTTTAAGATAGCAAAAGCTTCATTTATTGAAGTTTTTTGTCATATGACCAAACAGCTAAAGCCTGATGAAGGGACCCTGCGTGGTCCCGAAAGCGCTTCATATGACAAAAAAACTTCAATAAATGAAGCTTTTGCTATCTTAAAAGGATTGGTGTGCTGGTGACATTTCTACAATTTTGCTGTGCGGGTCCCAGCCGCACCGGGCACAGCGGATTTCAGGACCAGCAGTAGCGGCGAGGAGGCGACAGAGGTACGGGGGAGTAATTGCGACACCGCAATTACTGCAAGCGATCGCTTGAATGTAAACAGCCATCGCTGTTCAGGAATGGACAGGGGGTGGTTAAAGCGCAAGTGGTGGGCTCTTGCCATATATATGCAAGTATGCACGGCCTACTTACACATTATGGCACACTTACCAGACAAATCTGCTCTACCCCAGCACTGACCGATTTGCTTGTTAAAGTGACATTAAACCCTCAGCTTTTTTAACATAAACCAATACTGTAATGTGTGCCTTACTGTAATCCATGGTAGTTTCCCTTCTCTTTGCTGCTCTTCCTTTTAAATCCTCCTGTCTTCTTGTGCTAGGGGAGAACTTCCCTTTGCAGCTGAATGCCTCTTCCTGTAGTGCTGGCTCAGGTTGCAAACCTACACACAGACACCATGTATCCATTGCAGAGACAAGGCAGTCCTGCTGCAAAACTGAAGTTCTGCCCAGCATGAGAAGAGATACAGATTTAAAAGGAAGAGCAGCAAAGAGAAGGGAAACAACCATGGATTACAGTAAGGCACACATTACAGTATTGTTTTATGTTAAAAAATCTGAGGTTTTAATGTCACTTTAAGTGCCGTTTTGTCCACCGCCGTAGCCATATCTTCCTCTGCTTCTGGGTTCCAGTCATTATGTTAGACCAATGGACTGCCTGTGATGATGTAACACCTGTGCACAGGAGTTACATAATCCTCGGTGCCTGGCTCGATTCCCGGCATACTGCAGACGCTGGGAAGGACCCTGGGTAGAACACTAAATGGTGCATCCGCTGTACAGCGAACACAAAAAAACTGCTAGAAGTTAGAAGTAGTCGTTTTTTGGCAGAAGAGACAAAGTGTGACTACTCTGCCAAAAAAAAATAATAAATAATTCCTAGCACTTTACATTTTTGGGGTTTACTCCCATTTCAACGTTATACTGAGGCTCCCACTGCTAAACTCTTTGTGAAAATTCTAGTTACTTGGCTGTCTCTTGGCTGCAATACTTTGAGTCAGTGATCCAGAACAAGTATACCACAGGAAAAAAGTCAGAGGGAAATCAAAACTTCAGATTTGCATACTTGTTCCAAGTCACTGACACAAAAACTATTAAAACCAAGCAACCAGCATTTTTAGTAAAGGATACCAATGGTAACTTACATGTTCCATCAGATAAGCTTCCTTTAAGAAGACCAGGACTGCTGTACAAGGAGCAAAATCTTTATTATCTACAAGTTAAAAGCTCAAAATTACATGATTTAAAAAACAAGTTACTAAAGAATTGTCTGTACAACAAATTGATAAGCTGCCCTACAGGGAGCCAAAAACTCTTCACAGCTTTCTGCACATAGACCCGCAGTCCACAACTCGTGTCTTTTCCGCTACTGTAAATAATAGACTGAGATTCATAGACATATGTCACTGCGCACACACAAAATTACACCCACACATACGTCAAATACTTGTTAGACAACACATATGTAACTAATCAGACTTCGGCTACTTGTGGCTTTCCAGTTGCTGCGGGATTACAGGCCCCAACATAACCTCACCCTGCCAGTAAAATGATGAAATGGCAAAAGAGAGGTTGCCTACAACTGATCAAAATAGTTTGAAATATATGGGAAAGCCTTTACAAGTTGCTGTGTCTGTAACAAGTTACGTTTTTTTAAGAAGAAAAAAAAAAAAGAGCTTTGCACAGGGGGGAGGAAGAATTCACACTGAGCATGTTCCCTTACACAGTTAAATGCAAATGCTTCTTTTCCAAGCTGTATTGCTGGTATCTTGCTGTTTGCATAGCTCATACGCCACCTACTGCAAAAGCGAGCTGACAGCTCATGCAATGCTGGCAGCATTTTCATTCCATCATCGTGGCAGAACTGAATACGGCTCTTTATTATTTTTCTTTGAAACCAAACAAGAACAAGGCCAGCTTGCTCTCGCAACACACTGTTGCTCAGAATGGAGCGCAGAACCAACAGACGGGAGAAGGAGTGCGATGACAAATGCTACAATTCAGAGGACAGAGAGCAAAGCTCAAACTGCAAAACGGCTCTGGTCACACTTAATGTTGGCGGATATCTTTATATCACACAAAAGCAGACCTTGTCCAAGTACCCGGATTCGTACCTTGAGGGGGTTGTGAACAGGAAAATATTCTGCCCCATTGATGCAGATGGACACTACTTTATAGACAGGGATGGGCTACTGTTTAGGCATGTGCTAAACTTTCTGCGGAACGGGGAACTCTTGTTACCTGAGGGCTTCCAGGAAAACCAGCTTCTGGTACAGGAGGCAGACTTTTTCAAGCTGAAAGCACTAAATGAAGCTGTGAAATCCAGGTGGGAGAAGGAACAGCAGGCAGCCAGGGAGACCACTTTCCTTGAAATAACAGATAACCATGACCGGTCTCAAGGACTGCGAATTTTCTGCAATGCCCCTGACTTCATATCCAAAATCAAAGCTCGTATTGTCCTTGTTTCGAAGAGCAGGCTGGATGGTTTTCCTGAAGAGTTTTGCATTTCCTCCAACGTTATCCAGTTTAAATATTTCATCAAGTCGGAAAACGGGACGCGGCTGGTGCTTAAGGAAGACAACACCTTCGTCTGCACCTTAGAAACTCTCAAGTTTGAAGCCATTATGATGGCACTCAAATGTGGCTTCAGGTTGCTGACGAGTCTAGACTGCTCTAAAGGGTCAATTGTGCAAAGTGATGCCCTTCATTTTATCAAGTAATTGCTCTATTGCTAAATAAAGGGAGTCAAAAGTGCAGCCAAGCTTCATTAAACGGCAGCAGCAGCCTGGCAAGACGAAGCGGACCTATCCAGCAAAAAGAGACCTGCTGCCATTCGATATACAGGAGATCTGGGTATGTACATTTCACCTAAAGAACAAGTTCTCCTGGTTTCTTTTTCTTCCAGCACTGAAATATCTTCCTTATGCACGAGTCACAGACTTGTGCTGCAAAGAACATGGCCACTGTACAGATAAGTGTTAAATCATCTGTCCTTCCCTCGCATCATTTACCCAGAATGTGTTGCTGAAATATGTGTACTTGTGCAAGCAAGAGCTGCACACATTTTTGAGCTACATACTGAGTGTCTCTCTTTCTGGATATCGAGCTTTTCAGCTTCAGCACAATAAAACAGGATTTGGTGTAAACAGTCATTCTTCGCTCCCCAGCTACAATTAGTAGTACTATTTCATGCCACATGTTTGACCAGTCGGATAATGAACATGATTGCTTCCAAAGCTTCATTATTTATTTATTTTTAGAAGCCAGACAATGTTAATATGTTTATTAGAGACCATTGATTTATAGAAATAATTTTCTGTGCATGAATTTTTCAGGTAACCAGAATGTAAGTACTCTTCTGTATATGTACATGTAGCGAATAGAGGGTTACTTAAAGTAAGAAATTGGATATTTTAGCATTTGAAGAATTAGAAGTAAAAAGGACAACTGAATCATGATTGCTTAGAATACAGACCCATGATAATATATGTTATTAGCTGTAACTGTAGAACAGCTGTGAGTCCACTGTAGAACTGAAAGTCCCAATATGCCACATCACCCGAGGATCTTAATTCCCAACTAGAGTCATCTCTCATACAGTACTGTTGTAGATATATTGAAGGTTATATAACAAATACTAACCACAATTTACATCCTTACATACCACATTAATTTCTGTTATATGTAACCTCTCATTATGGTTAAAATAAATCTAAGTTAAAGCATATCTAAACCCAAAAAATATTGCAGCTTACCAATTTTTAAGATGTGGTTTAAGATCAGCTGAATTTGTTTTCTTTTCTGTTTAGGTTTTTCCCCTTAATTTTTATCTGGTGATCCAGCCTGTTAAGCTGGTCATACACCTTACAATTATCTGCAGATTTTCTGTGGTCAGATAGAAAAGGTGTAACAGATTCCTCCTCTACACTTAACTGTGTGGATGGAGTAATCTCCACCTGGGCCAATCTGTTGCACTTTTTCCATCTGACCACAGAAAATCTGCAGATAATTGTAAGGTGTATGGGCACCTTAAAGGGGTTCTAAACCCTCCCGTTTTTTTGCCTATATCTACTGCTATCAAGCAATGGATATAGGCAAACAGTTTTAAAAAAACCGCTAAAACAGCGGTTTAAACTTACCTTTTTTTTCTTCGCGCGTTCCCGCCCGAGAAAACTAAACTGTTCGGGCGGCCGCAAAGCATCTTGGGGCATGTGCAGTTCAGATTCTCGGCCGGGAGACGAGCAGAGACGCAAGGCAAGTGTATGGACGCGTGCACCGGCATGCAGACACCACTGGACTGGACAGAGCAGTCAGCGCTGGATCGGAGAGCCGCCGCACCGCTGGCGGGACAGATGAAAACATCAGGAAAGAAGATCGGAATAAGAGACATCATTTAAGGTAAGTGCTGACATTAACATTTGTTATATTGCAACTTTAACAGGCCAAGTTGTCAAGCAAAAGGGGCAGATAGAGGGCTGAGACAAACCATTTAACACTGGCTGGTGCTTACAATGGTCAGCTTTTATTCACTCATGTAAACCCTTTATCCCAAGAGGAAAACAAACTGCTGCTGTAATTGTGTTACCTTAAATCCAGCTTTAATATGTCCATCTAAATCTGCTAATGTATCCAACACTCCCCCTCCACAGGTGGACAATGCTGCTGTACAAGGGTGGCTCTGTTGCTCCTTATTAATGTAGTTACAGTGTGTTCCTGGCCTGATCATCCGGTGAAATAAAGGAGAAAAGCCTAAACCATATACATTATATATCGTATCATATGTTATACAGTATATGTAAGCTGAAATATATTAACCGTTTGGTTTTGGGTTTAGATATGCTTTAAGGAGTCATACATATAACATCCATGTGCTGTGAATATCAGCTAACGGCAAAATAAATGGTTAGAATACCAAAAGTAAATCAAAACTAATAGATTCAAAATACGGGTGGTATAGTTTAAAGATTTTCAGGTAAACAGATAAATAAGTACACAGCCAGTTACATAAGGAACTATCTTAGGGACACAAACAACATCTGTTTTAAACACAAAGTACATGATGCTTACTTTGTGTTCGTGTTAAAAGACAGAGCTAACAAACTATCAACATTACAGACAGTATTTATTCGCTATGATGCCCCATTATATATCTACATTTTTCTGAAATAAATTATACGGCCGAGAGTTTGTGGTAACCTGATCATCACACAGCTTGTTGGACATCCCATTACAAAATCATGGGCACTAACAAGGACCAGCTATAATGACATCCTTCTCTTCTAGGAAGGCATTCCACAAGACTTTGAAGTGTCTCTGTAGTAATGTGGGCCCAGTCCACTCTTGCAAGGTCAGGTATTGATGTAAAGGTGCCCATACACCTTACAATTATCTGCAGATTTTCTGTGGTCAGATGGAAAAGGTGCAACAGATTGGCCCAGGTGGAAATTACTCCATCAACACAGTTAAGTGTAGATGGAGGAATCTGTTGCACCTTTTCCATCTGACCATAGAAAATCTGCAGATAATTGTAAGGTGTATGGCCAGCTTTAAACAAGAAGACCCGACTTGCAATTAGCATTTTAATTCACTCCAAATGTGTTCCATAGTGTTTTTTGTCAATGCTCTAGGCAGGCCTGTTGAGTTTCTCCACACCAAATACATCACACCTTGTCTTTTAGCACTTTTGGTGTGACTACAGTTTCCCTATAAACAGGCAAAAAAGTTACCTGTTCCCATTGTTCAAAAATTAAAACTCAACGTTTACAATGCTATAGCCCACTAAAAAAAACACACACACACTTTATGCATTATATGAAAACACAACAAATAACTTTTATGACTGTGTGTAAAAGTTAACATACTTAAAGAAATATAGATATCTGGCATGTACATTACTTTACTGTGTAGGTTATGCCTTCCTGGACCTTCTTACTGAGCCACCACTATACATGAATTTCCTACAAGTCTCCACAGTGGTATGTGCAAGCATTTTAGATAGCCCCAGGTGTTCCTGGGCCAGCATGTCAGGTATACTTTAAAGTGAACCTTTGCTTTGTCCTTGCAGTTTCACTTTAATGCCAAGCAGCCAAACTGAACAATTTATGTTCTAAGTTACTTTTGCTTCCCCCATGGCTCTGTTCGGCCGTCAGGGGCACAGAAACCAGTGTAAGCTCAAAGTTGTAAACTTACACAGGGCAGAGGACCCCCCCACCAAGGTGCCAGAGCAGTCAGTCAATCACTCAGCAAAAGAGCTGTTACATGAAAGAAGGAGAGTGCACTGCCTAATACATGGCAGTAGCAGATATTTTGTGGAAGGGGAGTGATGGGAAAAAGCATGTACTGCTGGTGGGGCCACCATTAAAGTGAACCTGTTGCTTTCCCCTTCACAGGCAAAGCACTGTTTTTCATCACACTATTCTGTGAAACGTGTGATGCAGCCTTTGAAATAATTACCCCGCCCAACAGAGGTACCTTTGCTTGGCTGAAAAATACTTTTGTTTAGCATGGTCAGCCCTGCATTGAGGAAAAACACTTACTGAATATATGGAAGTCAAAGAGTGAATTACATCATACTTAATGCTTGGTGATAGAACCTGTTTTTTGAGCTTGCAGACACGTTACCATAATTTGTAGACTGCAGGGAACACATATTAAAGCTGAACTCCAGGAAAAGTACAAAACTACACTTGCAGTGGGGCTAACCTTGTACTGCAAGGAAGGCTTAAAAGCTGAATTTTGTTTAACTAGGGTACCTTCGAATGCAGGTTTACCTACCTTATCCCTCACTTCCTCAGGTGTTCTACACTTTGTGCAACTGGTTCCCTGAAGCCTCTTCTTTTCGATGTTCTGTCTGTCGGTCTCACTGTGGCATCACCACATACAATGCAGGAACAGCAGTCCTGCATTGTAAGTGAGAGCGCCAGGGGTCCGAATCAGAGGGAAGAAGAGAACAACATCAGCTGCTGGGGAGCGTAGGATAAGCAAAGTAATTGGCTTTTTAATGGTACTCTAGACAAAAACAAGCATTTATGCTATGCAGTGCAGGGGGAACCCCACAGCAAAGGAAGTTCAGCTTTTATTAAAGCAAATGTATGTAGGGTAGCTACACACACACAAACACAACATGAGATGTGAGGAATTATGCACATTAGATGAATTAACTAGTCCAAGAATCATTCAATTATTTCTGTTAATAAAAGCCTATGTTCTATATAATATAGTAAGTAAACCTATAGAGCACAGCCAATGTATCATAGATTGCCAGTTAATTGGCAATCTTACATATAACAGACACTGCTAAATCAGACGCACAGCTCTGAGGAGAAATGAATTATTAGAGTATACCATCACAACACATAGAACCAGCAACATTTCATTTTTCTCAGTTACACTGTCTGCAGCCTTACGAAGTGACAAATCTCGGTGACAATTCACACCAGCTTGGTCTGTGAAGGCAGACCTGCATCAAATCATCCTATGCTGCGGAACAATACAAAAATAACAATACTGAAAAATCACAATAGTGCAAGGTTTGCTTACAGCAATAAGACAGTGAAAAGCAGCTCTTCCCAGGAGATTAAGGCATGACATTCTATTGCTCAATTAGTTTTATAGATTGCTCCCTGTTTCTAGAAACACAAGACTGCTTCTTCCAGCAGCAGAGAACAATGACATTGTGCTAAATGTGTTTATTGAACTATGCACACGGCACATCATTTAAATAACGCCAAACCCAGGCTAAAAAGCAAGAACGAATTCATAAAGCACCCAATTTTGTATAAGCACCAGAGATACA